AAGAAAAATATTTAGATTAAAACTCTGGAGTCTGATGACTTAGAACTATCCTTGACCCTTAGGCCCACCCTTTCCACAGAGAAATCACCTCTCTTCTTTTGTCTCTTAAGACCTATTTGGTATTAACTAGTTTCAGAATTAGTAAATGTGAGATTCAGTCACATAATTATCAGACATTCCATTTGTCAGAAATCTGTTAGGCTTTTTAAACTCTTTTCCACAAAATTTTAAGTCTGTTGACCTTCTTAGAGAAGTTGAACATGCTTGGCAAGATCATTTCATGGAATAAGCAGATGTTTAAAGTTGGATTTGTGTGTGTGTATGTGTGTGTGTGTGTGTGTGTTTGTTTTGTTTAGTACTAGCAATGCACAGGGACTGTGTTCTTAGGTGCTGTGAGTCTGTCTATAGGCAGTCCAGATTTCTGAGTTGTACTATGGTTTTGCCTTGTCACTATGAGGCCCTACTAGGTGTAAGCATTGTCTCTGAATTTTAATTTCCTCTCATTAAAATAGGAACAAAATTTACTATCCTTTATATTAGGAGCTGAAGATTCATTTCCCTGGGAATGTTTCCCATTTAGCTTCAAGTTTTAGCTCAAACATCACCTTCTTTCTGACTCCTTTCATTCATTCCTCGAGGCAGTAAGGGGCTACCATAGTACTTTGCTTATGCCTGTATTATATGACATCACTGTAGTTGCTTGACTGTTTCTCCTACTGTTCTGTGAACTTATTAATAGGTGAGAATCTAGTTTTACTCATCTTGATGTCTCCAGGATCCGGCACAGTGCCTCATACAGAATAGATCCCAAAGAACTGGTGGGTGGGTGGATGGATGGAGGAATGGAGACAGTTGGCTTAACTGGATCCTATATACAGATTGTTACTGGCTCCAAAGGATGATTAGATAAGACTGTAAGAATTGGATCAATGTAAATCCTCACTTGCCCTTTGAAGAGCCAATAAGAGCATCTTTGTCTTTAAATACAGCAAATGTTATTCAGATTTTGTACTTGTCTGTTTACCTCAGTGTAGATGATATGAGGATGGTATAACTATGTAAATGGTTTGTTTTTGAAAATAATTTGTTTCCCCACAACTTTTGAAGGTTTTATTTGTTGTTGTTGTTACTAGTTCAGTCCCAAACTTACCCTTTCCTTTTCAGAGAGCTAATGGCCATGCTTTTCTTCAAGGAAAGAATAGTTTATTTGAATGAAGTTGGATACTTGGATAACACAAATAATGCTTTTTATTTATTTATTTCGGGAGTGTTATCTATGTGCTGTCAGTGACCCACCTTATTCTACTATATCAGGTCAAATTTTCCTAGTGGTCAAGAACAGAAACTGCCTCTTGCTAGTTTAAGCAAAGTAACTTACTAGAAGAATATGAGGGCATCTCGTGAAATCTAAAAAGGTTTCATAGTGGTTAGAAGGATAGAAGCAAGGGCACCTCCAGGAATCTCAGTAAGAATTTTGACTGTTTCCAGGGTGCTACCATAATGCAGTTCCCTTGCCTATTGGACTCTGTCTCAGCCCAAAATTCCCAAGGGCAAAAAATTTAATTGGCTCATTTGGGTCCCCTCCAAGAGTTCCCTACACTTAACCCCCTAGACTGACTACAAACAAGAGCACAAACGGGCCAGACACAGTGGTTCACACCTGTAATCCTAGCTCTTTGGGATGCCAAAGCAGAAGGATCACTTGAGCCCAGGAGTTCAAGACCAGCCTGGGCAACATGGTGAGACCTCAGCTCTACAAAAAAAAAAAAAAAAAGAGGCAGGAGGATAGCTGGAGCTTGGGATGTTGAGGCTGCAGTGAGCCATGATCACACCACTGCACTCCCACCTGGGCAATGGGAATGAGACCCTGTTTAAAAAAAAAAAAACAAAAAACGAAAAACAAAAACCACAGATACACAAAAGTCTATCTTTACATGCGTCTAAACATGCCCTCTCTTGGGATAATCTTACTGCATCCAGAGGTAAGGTGCTGTGGATGGAGCAGAGAGTTATATTTACAAGTCACTCATTTAATACTTACCAGATACTTCTTGAGCATCTACTACGCACAGAGACAAGGTAAGTTTACATGAGGCTCCCAAACTTCAAGAGGCTGTGCTGTTGAGATGATAAACAATATGAGAGGCATCATATATACATGGAAGGTGATTAAGACAACAGGAGTGCTGAGTATTCATGAAGACAATGTGGATCTGGAGTTTAGAGGAAGAATAAACTTCCAACTGGAGCAGATGGGAAACTTTGTGGAGGTAAAAATTAATTTACACCATGAAGGATAAGTAAATGAAATGGTCCTTGGAGTTCTCAAAATTCATTATCTCTCTACATGTGGAAAAGTTTTATATCATACATAATGTAACAAAATGTAAAATATGTAGCAAGGGCAGTACTTGGTGAAACTGGCAGGGAAGGGAACCTGCTGACCCCTGGGAAAAAAATTCACTATGAGGGAAGAAACTATTAGGTTCTACAAACAGAATTCAGCAACAAGGGCTGATGGTGGAAGAATGGTGTTCCAGGCAGTATGGTGATTCCACTGAAATCCTTCCCTGATGCAGTTACTCTGCTGTCAAACACATGTCCTGGGGACAAGAAAGCCATATGTGAAACAGTGGTCCAGTAAACCCCATAACACCTTTTGGTTTAGACCAAGCTTGTCCGACCCATGGCTCACAAGCTGCATGCGGCTCAGGAAAGCTTTGAATGCGCCCCAACACAAATTTGTAAACGTTTTTAAAACTTGAGATTTATACATGGACTTTTTTTATTATTATTATTATTATTATTATTATTATTATTTTTAGCTCATCAGCTATAGTTAGTGTTATGTGTAGGCCAAGACAATTCTTCTTCCAATGTGGCCCAGGGAAGCCAAATGATTGGACACCTCTGGCTTAGACTGTGTTGATCTGAGAACCTTCAAAAAGAGCAGACTACAGACTACAGGGTTGGGCACGGCGGCTCACACCCGTAATCCCAGCACTTTGGGCAGCTGAAGCAGGCAGATCACTTGGGGCCAGGAGTTTGAGACTAGACTGGCCAACACGATGAAACACTATCTTTACTAAAAATACAAAAATTAGCCAGGCATGGTGGCACATGCCTGTAATCCCAGCTACTCAGGAGGCTGAGGCACAAGAATCGCTTGAATTTAGGAGGCAGAGATTGCAGTAAGCTGAGATTGTGCCACTGCCCTCCAGCCTGGGTGACAAGAGTTTAGACTGTATCAAAAATAAAATAAAATAAGTAGACTACAGAGGAGGGTGAGCATTTCCTTCATTCTAAAAGAAGGTAATCCCTAAGGGATTGGGGAATTAGGAAATGTGGGAGGGCTCAGATGGAAGAGCAGCAACAGTGTGAGCAGTAGCCAAAGGACTGGGGACTTTTTTGAAGTACTAAGTGGCAAAAGAAACCTTACAAATGAGTCTTCAGTTACCCAAAGGAGAAACAAGTTATGGAGTTTAAAATTTGCCTGTTAATATGACCTCATCTATAGGCTAGTGAATCCTGGGGCACTTGAGTTGCACACAAATGATTTCGTCAGTATCTTCCCAACACCCACCCAAACCCTCCTACCCATTTCAAGTCCTCCTACATCCCAGAATAATTCTGGGGTCATCTTATGCATTTAGCTTTTTCTACATATGGGTTAGAAACAGACTGTACAGCCATTTTCTTGGGCTTCCAAGCTTTGCTAACTTATCTTGGTGCCTACTTCTACCTAACATGAGATAAGCAGCAACCCAGAGCCAGAAGTCAGGGAATCTAAATTATTCATTCAACAAATATTTACTGAGCACCTACTACAGTTCTAGGTCCTGGAGATACAGAGATGAATATATGTGGTCTGTGACCTCAAGGATAGTTTATTGAGACGGATGAACAAATAGGAAATTATGATGCAGTGTCATAAGTGCCATGATGAGTGCTGAATCAAATATTGTATCCCAGAGTAGTCTTTGTAGCGCCGTCACTAATTCAGCTGGTCACTCTAGTCAGCCACTTCTCGGAGACTTGTGTATAGAATTTCCAGCTATCAAATTCCAGAAGTCTGTTTACTGTATTCTACTACAGTGTGGCAATTTTGATTTACAACTAGAAAGGAATAAAGGAGGTGAAGGGATTGGTAAAATGAATAAGGGAGCATGCTTGTTAAGGATTGAATGAAATTACACGAATACTGAAAATATTTTAAATGCATTCATTTTAATGAAAACTATACTTCGAAGCATGTTAGCAGAGGTTGTAGTGACGGCAAATTATACAAACACAGAAATTCCAGAAATTCTCCTGCCTTTTGAGAAGCAGTAGGCATATGAACTAAAGGGAGTGAAATCCACCTTATGAAGAGCTGCCAAAAAGCTGATTCTTCAAAAAAGTGTTCTCGAAATCTTGGTGTAACTGGCACCAAGACCCATCCCCTTTACCTGCACAAATCGCCTTTCCCTCTTTCCCTATTCCACTTGCACTGAATATTGCACTTTCTTCCTCACTGAAGCGGGATTCCTGGCTTTTTTTTTTTTTTTTTTTTTTTTTTTGAGACGGATTTTCGCTCTTGTTGACCAGGCTGGAGTGCAGTGGTGTGATCTCGGCTCACTGCAACCTCCGCCTCCTGGGTTCAAGCGATTGTCCTGCCTCAGCCTCCCAAGTAGCTAGGATTACAGGCGCCCGCCACAATGCCCAGCTAATTCCTGGCATTTTAATTACGCTAAATTACTTCAACCTATGACCACCTCAAGCTGAATGTAACTAGCCGCAGACGCTGTTTGCATGACCCAGGAACCACTAAGACACGGAACGAACGCCTGCCGGCACCACGCAGAGCTTCACTACCCGCAGCGAACTCACTTCCGTGGTGGACTCAGCACAGCAGTGGCCCGACCCCCCCTCAACCGGAAGTCTTTTGGGCTCCGGCTTTGCCGTCGCCCGGCCCCCTGGCCTTTGCCCCGATTGGGCGGGACTTCCTGTGTCGTATTTCCAAGGACTCTAAAGCGAGGCCCAGGACTGAAGGCGTTGGTGTCGAGCCCTCTGGCAGAGGGTTATCCTGGGCCAAATGCACGGATTCTCACCTCGTACAGTTACGCTCTCCCGCGGCACGTCCGGGAGGACTTGAAGTCTTGAAGGCTCAATTTGTCCGTAGGTCGAGAGAAGGACATGGAGGTGCCGCCACCGGCACCGCGGAGCTTTCTCTGTAGAGCCTTGTGTCCATTTCCCCGAGTCTTTGCTGCCGAAGCTGTGACTGCAGATTCGGAAGCCCTTGCGGAGCGTCAGAAGCGGCCTCTCTACGTCCCAGAGCCCTATTACCCGCAATCTGGATGGGACCGCCTCCAGGAGCTGTTTGCCAAAGAGTAAAAGTGCCTGGGGTCTGAAGTGGGTAGGGGGACGCGAAAGCGATGTCCTGCAGCGTTGGCAGCCTGGGTCAGCCTTAGGACGCCAAGTGTGCTTCATTTTTAAATTATATTTAAAGGTTCTGATATTTGTAACCCAAACTTGTATCTTTTTTTTTTTTTTTTTTTTCCAGACAGGGTCTTGCTCTGTCGCCCAGGCTGGAGTGCTCTGGTGCGATCTCGGCTCACTGCAACCTCTGCCTCTCGAACTCGAGTGATCCTCCCACTTCAGCCTCCCGATTAATTGGGACTACAGGCGCGCGCCACCACGCCCGGCTAATTTTTTTAAAATATATTTTTTATAGACAGGGTTCTTACCATACTGCCCAGGCTGGTCTTGAACTCTTGGACTTAGGTGATCCTCCTACCTCAGCCTCCCAAAGTGCTGGGATTACAGGCGTGAGCCTCCGCGCCAGCCCAAACTCGTATTTTTTTTTTTTTTTTTTTTTTGAGACTGAGCCGTGCTCTATCGCCCAGGCTGGAGTGCAGTGGTGCGATCTTTGGCTCACTGCACCCTCCACCTCCGGGGTTCAAGCGGTTCTCCTGCCTCAGCCTCCCGAGTAGTTGGGATTACAGTTGCCCACTACCATGTCCAGCTAATTTTTGTATTTTTAGTGGAGACGGGATTTCACCATTCAGCAGGCTGGTCTCTAATTCCTGACCTCACGTGATCTGCCTGCTTTCGCCTCCCAAAGTGCTGGGATTACAGGCGTGTGCCACCGTTGTTGGACTGAGCCCGGCCTAGAAGGGAAATTATTTTATAGTAACTTAATACTTAAGACAGCTATTTGTTAGAGCAGTTTCAGGATGACATCTTGGAAGCTTCATTAGCAGTTCTAGCTTCTTATGCGTTTAAGAGTAACAAACTGAATTAAATAGTAGCTTTTCCTTATTATTTTAGATTAGCATGTGCCACCCACTGCATAGTGAACTTTCTCAGTGCGTTTTTTAAAAAACATGTATTTATTTGTTTATTTTTAGAGCCAGGATCTTTGCTACGTTGCTATGCTGTCCAGAACTGGGCTCAAGTCCTGCCTCAGCCTCCTAAGTAGCTGTGACTACAAGCATGTGCCACTGTGCCCAGCCCAGTGCTTTTATTAATACAGTCCTATCTGAGTATTTCATGAAATTATTTAGTAAAATAGAATTTAGATTTTTTGTCTTAACGTCCACGTTTTTTTTTTCTTTGATACATTGCCCTAAAATCTCACGAGTTGGTGTGATTTCTTAAAGTTAGCTTAAGATTTAAACGGAAATATTGGTCTGTCTAACTCACAAATTCTTCCTGTTTCTAGGGGTGTAATAGTCATCAAATAAAAGCACCTTTTAAAAAACTTTTTATTGAAGTAGGAAATGCGTTTCAAAAAATGTACATAAGTAGACTGATGAATGCATTTTCACAGACTGAACATAGCTGTACCCAACACTCAGAAGGAAACGGCAACTATTATCACATCCCAAAAGCTCCCTTTGTGCCTTTTCCAGTCATTGTCTTTTCAGGAGTTGCCACTATCCTAATTCTAACAGCATAGCTTCGTTTTGTCTGAGACTTACGTTCCTTTTAATATAACTGAACTGTTTAATTCATCTGCGGATTCTACCTATGATGAAAAATGTTGTGGTGTTAGCATTCGGGATAATTCTGATTATAGATTCTTTTGGAGAGCAATGTCCATAAACTAATCCCAAACAACATTGTCTTTTTGATGTTGTAGTGAACAGCAGAGAATTTCAAAGGAACTTGCTGATATCTGTAAGATGGCAGCTACAGCAGGCGTCCTCGGCTGGGTGTATGGGGGTATACCAGCTTTCATTCATGCTAAACAACGTTACATTGAGCAGAGCCAGGCAGAAATTTATCATAACCGGTTTGATGCTGTGGTATGTACTGGTGGTCTAAAGAAATTTAGGGCACACTGACTTAGCAATTCACTTTACACTTAATCATTCAATTAGCTTGTGGGGATGGAGGGTTGTTTTAAAGTGTCAGAGTAAAGAAATAAAGTCTATACTTAATAACAGTGGAAGTACTAACATTAAAGTGCCTGCATGTGGCTTGAGACTACTTTCTTATCTTCAGAACAGACATGTTTGGCATCACCACTGTGGCTTTTCTTTCTGAAATATCTTTCTTCCAATCCCCTGCTAAATCATCAAGGCTCAACTGTAACATATTTACCTCATTCACAAAGCCTCCCTGAGTATAGGAGCTTACACTAAGACAATAGTTAACATTTATAACTTTATAGAGTGCTAACTCATTTGTTACATCATTAGATCTGTACATCAGTTCTATGAGAATATTAAAGCTCAGAGAATTTTTAACTTTTTATTTTGAAATTATGGCAGGCTTGAAAGTTGCAAAAATAGTACAAAGATTTCCTATATAACTTTCATCCAGATATTCCACTGTTAACATTTTACCGTATTTTATCATTCTTCCTCTGTATAATATGTACTAATTTTTTCTGAACTACTTGACAGTAGGTTCTAGACATGATGAATACTTCAGTATGTATTTCCTAAAAACAAGGAAATTCTCTTATACAACCACGATTATAATATCAAGATCAGGAAATTAACACTGATATAGTACTATTACCTTATTTAAAGACCTGTAAATTTTGCTAGTTACGCCACAGTATCATTTATTTTAAAAATAAATTAAAAATATGTATTTTTCAGAAGTTAGGCTTGAGTTCTTATTAAAAAATTGAAAAAATTTTTTTGTCTGGTCCAGAAACTGACCCTGATCACAGGTTGAATTTGCCTGTGGTGCTGCTTTGGTCTCATTTAGTCTGGAAGAGTTTCTCTTTGTCTTTCATGGCCTCGACTATGGGTGATTTATTTTGTAGCATATCCCTCAGTTTGGGTTTGTTTGATGGTTTCTCATGATTGCATTCAGGCTATGTTTTTTGACAGGAATACCCTAGACCTGAAATTAAATTAGAAACCTGTGATATCTCTGTCCCTTTACTGGTGATATTTACTTTAGTTACTTGGTTAAGATGGCCTCTGCCAACTATACACTGTAAAATTACTATGTAATTTTATAAGTAATTTGTAAGTTTGTAATTTATAAGTATTTTGAGTACTTGTTAGTTCCTTTAAGACTATGTAAATATCCTGCTTTACATCAAATTTCTACTATATAAAGGCTATTATAAACTATAATATTTCTACTATCTAAAAACTATTCTAAATTATAAATGCTATCTTAGTATTTGATTTAAAAAAGAAAATATTTTTTCATTTATTTATTTTTTGAGACAGAGTCTCACTCTGTTGCCCAGGTTGCAGTACAGTGGCACAATCTTGGCTTGTTGCAACCTCCACTTCCCAGGCTCACTCGATTCTCCTGCCTCAGCCTCGCGAGTAGCTGGGACTGTAGGCATGTGCCACCACTCCCAGCTAATTTTTTTTTTTTTTTTTTGAGATGGAGTCTCGCTCTGTCGCCCAGGCTGGAGTGCAGTGGTGCGATCTCGGCTCACTGCAAGCTCCGCCTCCCGGGTTCACGCCATTCTCCTGCCTCAGCCTCCCGAGTAGCTGGGACTACAGGCGCCCACAACCGCGCCCGGCTAATTTTTTGTATTTTTAGTAGAGACGGGGTTTCACCGTGGTCTCGATCTCCTGACCTTGTGATCCGCCCGCCTCGGCCTCCCAAAGTGCTGGGATTACAGGCGTGAGCCACCGCGCCTGGCCTCAGCTAATTTTTGTATTTTTTGTAGAGACAGGGTTTTGCTATGTTGCCCATGCTGATCTCAAACTCCTCAGCTCAAGCAGTTCACCCTCCTGGGCCTCCCAAAGGGTTGGGATTATAGGTGTGAGCCACTGTGCCCAGCCTATTTTTATTTTTTAATTTATTATTTTTTTTTTGAAATTTTTTGAGGCAGGGTCTTGCTGCCTCAGTGCAGGCTGGAGCGCAGTGGCGGGATCATAGCTCACCACAACCTCAAACTTCTGGACTCAAGGTTTCCTCCCTCCTCAACCTTCCGAGTAGCTAGGACTGCAAACACACATCACGATGCCCAGCTAATTTTTAAATTTTTTTTGTAGAAGCAGGATCTCGCTATGTTGCCCAGGCTGGTCTTAAACTTGTTGGCTCAAGTGATCCTCCCTCGTTGCCTCCCAAAGTGCTGAGATTACAGGCATGAGCCACCATACCCAGGCAGTTTTAGCATTTAATGATGATTCTTGCCTGTAACAATTATGACTGTGGTGGCCAAATGGGCATTTTCTAAAGTCTATCATTCTACATTTATTTGTTAGTATTATGCTCTAAGGAAATGTTTTCCCTTCCCCCTCTATTTACATATTTATTTATCTATTTATAATTTATTTCTATCAGTAGGGTCTCATGGATTCTTATTTTATTCTGTAGATTTATAATTCGTTACAGGTTGAGCATCACAAATCTGAAATCCTGAATGCTCAGATTCAAAACTTTTTGAGCATTGACATGTCATTCAAAGAAATTGCTCACTGGAGCATTTCAGATTTCGGTTTTTTGGATTTGGGATACTCAAGCAGTAAGTGTTAAATACGCATATTCCCAAATCTGAAAAAATCCGAAATCCAAAACACTTCTGGTCTCAAGTATCAGATAAGGGATACTCAGCCATTTTTCATCTCCTGACAGGAAAAGCTACACATGGAACCTCAATAATTAAAGAATAATATTTCTAGAGATTTTCTAGTGTTTCTGTCTGTTTAAGTGTACCTGACTAATCCATGGCTAAAATTCCTCTACCACAGTTCTAGAATAGGGAAAATATGATGGTGTCTTAGAACCTCACAGTTTTTAAATTAACTTTAGCATTCTGCACATCGTGCTGCTACACGAGGCTTCATTCGTTATGGCTGGCGCTGGAGTTGGAGAACTACAGCATTTGTGACTATATTCAAGTAAGTTCACTCTGAATTGTGAGATAGTGACTTTTCTTGATACGGTTTTAGGAGTGTGTCTTTTGAGCGGGTGGGGTTATGAAAACTGAATACCCACATGAAAGTGATTCATAATGCCTTTTTTTTTTTTCCCAAGAACTTTTGTCTGTGTAAAAGACTGGTGCAGTTATGGTTTTATAGCCATGTCTGGAACACATTGAAGGGCCTAGGCTAGGACCAGGGGTTGATATAGTAGGCTTTTCTAAATCTATTAAGTCAGTGAAAATAACACTAAAGAAGGTAAATGGGATATGCTTTAAATCTTATATTTTCCTTCTCCTCCCTTTTTCCCAGCACAGTGAGCACTAGTCTGAATGTATACCGAAATAAAGATGCCCTAAGCCATTTTGTAATTGCAGGAGGTAAGACATTTTTGTTTATATTTTTCAATCTTCTCAAATATAGTTTAGAAAATATGTAAGGACTTATACATCAGAACTACTGAATTCTTTGGTTGGCTTCCCATCGCATCTCATCAACATTCATGCAAAATGTTTTTATGGACAGTGTTGTGCTTCCCCCTTGATATACTCAATGGGCAAAACAGCAAGGCCCTTGCTTTCTTTGAATTTTAATGTCTAATATGTATGTGATAAAACAGGTTGCTGTGATAGAAAGTAACAATTCGGTGGAACAATGGCATCTCATATGGACAGGGTAGTCAGAGAAGGCCTTTCTGAGGAAGTGACATTTGAGCTGATACCCAAAGAATAGGAAGGAACAAGACTTGCAAGGAAGGGTGTCCTAAATAGAGGGAACATAAAGGGGGGAAGGCTCTAAGGCAATACATTTCCTTAAAAGCAGGATAGTAACCTGGTGAGTGAGGGTAAGAGTAGCTTGAGATGAGATTGGTGAGGACGGTAGGAAGGGACTAAATTTTTATGCTAAGAACTTGGATTTTATTTTAAAGCTTTCTGCCTCTAGTATATATGTCTTCTTTTAAATGAGCATTAAAAATAGAAAGTACAATGGTGATTACCAGAGACTGGATATGGGGTTGGGAAGATGTTGGTCAAAGGATATAAAATTTCATTTAGACAGGAGGAATAAGTTCAAGAGATCTATTTAGAACATGGTAACTGTGGTTAATAACAGTGTATTGTATACTTCAAAATTGCTTTTAAAAAGTAGATTTTTGTAATCCCAGCACTTCGGGAGGCCAAGGCAAGTGGATCACCTGAGGTCAGGAGTTTGAGAGCAGCCTGGCCAACATGGTGAAACCCCCTCTCTACTAAAAATACAAAAATTAGCTGGGCGTGGTGACAGGTGCCTGTAATCCCAGCTACTTGGGAGGCTGAGGCAGGAGAATCACTTGAACCCAGGAGGCAGAGGTTACAGTTAGCCGAGATCACACCATTGCACTCCAACCTGGGCAACAAGAGTGAAACTCTGTGTCAAAAAAAAAAAAAAAGATTTTAAATGTTCTCACCACAAAAAATGGTATGTGAAGTAACGTGTAGGTTAATTCGCTTAATTTAGACATTCCACAATATATACATATTTCAAAACATGTATACCATATGTGTACAATTTTTACTTGTCAGATTTAAAAAATAATTTTAAAATGAGCATTCGTTTCAGAAAGGTAAATTAAGTTAACTGCCGTATACACTCAATCACTAACTCATGTACATTCTTGTACGTACAAAAACACACATACATATTCTGAACATGTTTGTTTGTTTTTGTTTTTGTTTTTTTGAGAATCAGTCCCTCTTCTTGAATGCACTTTCTCACTACCACGATTAATTTTGTTCGGCTCCTACTTAACCTTACCTTTCAAAGTCTAGATCATTTGTCAGCCTCAGCTTCCCTAGAGAGTTCTCCCTAGCCATTTTCCTATGTTTAGTTCTGTTTAGGTGTCTTTCCCCTGTGTTCACATACTTCACTATTTTTTTCTTTATCTTTGATTTTCTGCAGTTTGAAAATGATATGCCCCGGTGTAATTTTGAGGAACATTTACTGTGCTTGGTGTTTTCTGAACTTTCTGGATCTGTGGTTTGTTGTCTGACTTACTTTAAGATAAATTCTCAGTTATTGTTTCAAAGATTTCTTTAGCTTTCTCTTCTCCTTCTGGTGTTCTAATACACTTACACCTTTTGTAATTGTTTCACAGTTCTTGGATATTTTATCTGTTTGTTTGTTTGTTTGGTTTTGGTGGGGGAGGTTCCCATCTTTTTTCTCTTTGTCTTTCGGTTTTGGAAGTGTCTGTTGATACGTCTTCAAGCTCAGGGTTCTTTCCTCAGCTGTGTCCAGTCTACTATTCTTGAGTTCTGTCACAGTGGGTTTTTAATTGTTTTATTGCTAGCATTTCTCTTTGATTCTCTCTTAGAATTTCCATCTTTCTGCTTATATTGCCTATCTGTTCTTGCATGCTATCTACTTTATCCATTAGAGCCCTTAGCATATTAGTCATAGTTGCTTTAAACTCTTCATCTGGTAAGTCCAGTATCCCCACCATATCTGAGTCTGGTTTTGGTGCTTACTCTGTTAGTCTTACTTGGTCTCTTCAAACTGCTTTTGCCTTTTGGGATGCCTCGTAATTTTTTTTCTTAATAGCTGGACATGATGTACCTGGGTAAAAAGGAATTGTGGTAAATAGGTCTTTAGTAATTTGGTATTAAGATGTGGGAGAGGGAAAGTGTTTTATAGTCCTGTGATTAGGTTCTTAGTCTTTTGGTGAGCCTGTGCCTCTGAAATGTTAACTTCACAAGTGCTTTTCAGTTTTTTTCCTCTCCTTTGGTGGGACAGGATACTACAGTGGGTTGGAATGGGTATTTCCCTTCTCCCACATGGGAGACTAGAGCAGTTGCATTTGGATATTCCCCAGATTGGTTAATCTCTGACAAAACCCCAGTAGGTTGGGCTGTGCAAAACCGTTTATCTTGAGGGCAGGCCTTGGTGAGAATAACAGAATGTTCTGGCATATTTCATAATGGTTACTTTTCTTCCCCCTTGCCAGAAGCCTGAGGGGATTTTTCTCAGATCTTTACTGGGAGAACCTGGTAGAGCTCCTGGAGTGTGGGGACCCTCTGTGACTGGGCCCCCTACAGTTTTTATGTCTTAGACTTTTCTATACTGAGCTTCCAGCGATTTATCATTTATAGTCAAGGTTTCCTACTCTGGTACTGGTTTCAATGGAGGCTTCTGCTCATGGGTTTCTACTATAATAAGGTGTGATTCTCTGTACTTATCTGTCTGTCTCTCCTATTTTGAGGGCAGCAGTTTACCCATGGTCTCACTTCTTTGATGCATCTAAGAAGAGTTGTCAGTTTTTCCATTTGTTTAGGAATAAGTGTTAAATTGTTGTTAACACTTGTTGTTAGGAATAAGTGTTAAATTCTAAACTTCTCACATGCCACACCAGAAACTGGAAGTCTCCCTTTGCTTTTTGCCCCACATCTTGAGAAGCTGATAAGAAAGCCCAAGTGCTACCTTGATTGACACTGGCAGGAAGTTTCAACCATTCAAGCTCAGGCCTACATGAGGGACCTCTTGCTCTAGCCCCACCTTCTAAAACCACAAGCCAGTCAGTCACCCTTCAGGTTCTCAAGTAATTTTGGGATGTGCTTGGGATCCTGCCTTGCTCTCCCTAGAAAGCCTCATTATGTGTATAATAAACCTAATACCTCTTAGTACCTCTCGGTACTTTCGCATCTCAATAGCTAATTCAAATTTTGGGTAGGGAAGTTTATTGTCTCTGGAGGGTAACCACAACATCTTGGATGTAGAAAAGCCAAATGAATTCAGAAAACTGTTGGAAGGCCAGGTGCAGTGGCTCATGCCTGTCATCCCAGTGCTTTGGGAGGCCAAGGCAGGCAGATCTCTTGAGGTTGAGAGTTCGAGACCGGTCTGGCCAACATGGTGAAACCCCGTCTCTACTAAAAATACAAAAATTAGCTAGGCGTGGTGGTGCATGTCTGTAATCTCAGCTACTTAGGAGGCTGAGGCAGGAGAATGACGTGAACCCGGGAGGCGGAGCTTGCAGTTAGCCAAGATGGCGCCACTGCACTCCAGCCTGGGCTACAGAGCAAGACTCCGTCTCAAAAAAAAAAAAAAAAGTTAAGCATAATTTAGTGTGCAATTCAGCAGTTCCATGTCTTAGAATCTGCCCAAGATAAATGAAAACATGTCCACGCAAAGACTTACGTATAAATTTTTATAGTGATGTTATTCCTGACAGCCTCAAACTGAAACAACCCATAAGTTCATCAACTAGTGAATGGGTAAATAAATACATGTCCATTCACTTGAATATTTTCATCAATGAAAAACTGATACATGCTGCAACATGAATAAAACTTAAAAACATTAAGTGAAAGAAGCTAGACACGTAAGACTTCATAATGTGTAATTCTATTCATATGAAATGTCCAGAATAAGCAAATCTGTAGAGTTAGAAAGTACATTAGTGGACTGAGGTAAGATTGGGAACCAGGAGTAACCACAAAGGGGCATGGGGGATCTTTTTGTAATGATGGAATCATTTTAAAATTGGATTTTGGTGATGATTATATAACAATGCAACTAATTTTTTTTTTTTTTGAGACGGAGTCTTGCTCTGTCACTCAGGCTGGAGTGCAGTGGCGTGATCTCAGCTCACTGCAACCTCCACTCCCGGGTTCAAGCGATTCTCCTGCCTCAGCCTCCCTAGTAGCTGGGACTACAGGCGCAGTCCACCACGCCTGGCTAATTTTTTTTTTGTATTTTTAGTAGAGACGAGGTGTCGCCGTGTTAGCCAGGATGGTCTCCATCTCCTGACCTTGTGATCCGCCTGCCTCGGCCTCCCAAAGTGCTGGGATTTCAGGCATGAGCCACTGTGCCCGGCCACTAAATTTTTTTTCTACAAATTATTGAATTGTACATTTCAGTGAATTTTGTGTGATGTAAATTATACCTCAATAAAACTGTTAAAAATACACTAACACAGAAGGGGAAAAAAGCAGTGCTTTTAGATAGGAAGAAGCAAAATTGTCTGTATTTGTAGGTGATATTTTAAAAGATGACTTGAAAAATTATTACTAGTTAGTAAAGTGTAAATATATAAATAGGCTTTTTATATTTCAATGGTTACTTGAAAAGTAAAAAATTTTCTTTATAATAGTACCAAGAATGTAATATAATAAGGAATAAATTTAATAAATGTACAACTTCTCTGAAGAAAATTACAAATCATAAATAATAAAAATGGGGAAATAGTTGATAGTTAACCCAGTATTTTTCTACTTCGTTTATAAATTGAAAGCAATTCAAATCAAAATTACAGACTTTTTTTAAAAAAAGAACTTGATACAATGTCTAAATCATATCTAAAATGCTGATTATATGAGCATAGCAAAGACATTTCAGAAAAAAATGATGAGGGGTTCTTGCAACTGTAAAATTAAAATCTGTATAAAGTTACACTAAAGAGGACAGTGAGGTATTGGTCGATCTGTGGAATGGAATTCAAAGGTCAGGAACAAAACGAAGCACACACAAGTAAGTAAAGGTGATATTTCACATTTGTAGGGAAAGAATAGACCATTCATGGGCTGGAACAGTTAACTATTTGGAAAGACATTATACCTGTATTCAGTTCAACAAAATTAGTTAACATTTATTATGGTGCTTATGTAAAAAACGTCCACAAAAGATTAGGGAAAGTTTAGAAGTAAATGTGTCTCTGATTTCTGCGTAGGAAGATATATAAATGTGTACATATACACAGTTGACCTTTGAACAACACTGAAAACAGCTTTGAACACAATAGCAATGCTGACCTCCACCCTGCGCAGTTGAAAAATCCACATATAACTTTTGACTCCCCCAAAAGTTAACTATTAATAGCCTACTATTCTCCAGAAGCCTTACCAATAACATAAACAGTTGATTCACACGTAAATAGATTGGTATCTACGTATATTTTATGCACTTAAAGACACACATTTTTCTTAATTTTTTTTTTTTGATATTTCTAGGCTAGACAGTTTATCTGCAAGTTTTTTCAAATTACTGCACATTTCCAAAACGTTTTTCAATATATTTATTGAAAAAAATTCATGTGTCCGGGCATGGTGGCTCATGCCTGTAATCCCAGCACTTTGGGAAGCCGAGGCAGGCATATCACTTGAGGTCAGGAGTTCGAGACCAGCCTGGCCAACATGGTGAAATCCCATCTCTACTAAAAAATGTTTAAAAAGTAGCCAGGTATGGTGGTGCACACCTGTAGTCCCACCTACTTGGTAGGCTGAGGTGGGGGAGAATAACTTGAACCCAGAAGGTGGAGGTTGCAGTGAACCAAGATCGTGACATTGCACTCCAGCCTGGGCAGCAGAGTGAGACTGTCTTAAAAAAAAAAAAAATCATGTGTAAGTAAATCTGCACAGTTCAAACTTGTGTTTATCAACTGTATATATTTTTAAGCATAAGAACTAAGAAACTAGGAAACAGGAAACCACAGTTTTGGCCACGTAAAATTTTTAAACTTATCTATGTCATAAATACTATAGGAGACATTAAACGTAAACAACGCCAAAATAATATTATGTGCAGATAATGGATAAAAGCCCTAATACGTCAAAAAGAAAGGATAGCTCAGTTGAAGATTGGACAAAGGACATGAATTTGTAATTCACAGACGTACCATAAATAACTTGTAAACCTAGGGAAAAACAACTTCTTTTCTCTACTAATCAGAGAAATGCAACTTAAAATTACATACCACTTCTGGCCTATCGAATTGGAAAAAATAAACTAAGAGAATGCAGAAGACTAGATTACTAGCATACTTTTACTTGGAAAATAAGTTTATGCATCCTTTTTGAATAGCAGTTTAGTAATCTAAGTCAAAGGCCTTAAAAATGTTTATATTTATACCCTTTGACCCAGAAATTTCATTTCTGTGAGTTCATCCTAAGGAAACAGTCAAATGTATAAAAAGATTATTTGTGGAGGGATTATCATCACACCTTTATTTAAAATATCTATAAATAGAAAATCTAAGTGTTAGACAAAAATTTGTGGTACCTCCATGCAATGGAACCAGGAGGGAGAAAACTTAGTAATACAGAATTTAATAATATGTTCTGTGAAAATAAAAAATTTAGTATGTACACCATGACACCAGTTTTTGTGTTTTTGTTTTGTTTTGTTATTTTAGACAGTCTTGCTCTCTTGCCCAGGCTGGAGTGCAGTGGCGCAATCTCCGCTCACTGCAACCTCTGCTGCCCGGGTTCTAACGATTCTCCTGCCTCAGCCTTCTGCGTAGCTGGGATTACAGGTGTGTGCCACCATGCCTAGCTAATTTTTGTATATTTAGTAGAGATGGGGTTACAGCATCTTGGCCAGGCTGGTCTTGAACTCCTGACCTCATGATCCGCCCATCTCAGCTTCCCAAAGTGCTGGGATTACAGGTGTGAGCCACTGTGCCCAGCCCCAGTTTTTTTTTTGTTGTTGTTTGTTTTTTTTTGTTTGGAGGATCAGAAAAAAAGACTCACTCATTACTGACTCTGGGTAATGGGATTAAAGGTGATTTTGGTTCTGGTGAATTCTGAAAATTTTAAAAATGAATATATAGTACTTAAAAATATAAACCTCAACTGTTATTTCTTTTGTTTTTTTGAAACAGAGTCTCATTCTTTTGCTGAGGCTAGAGTGCGGGAGTGTGATATCTGCTCACGGCAGCCTCCGCCTCTGGGGTTCAAAGAATTCTCATGCCCTCAGCCTCCTGAGTAGCTGGGATTACAGGCGTGCACCACCACACCTGGCTAATTTTTGTATTTTTAGTAGAGACAAGGTTTTGCCATGTTGCCCAGGCTGGCTTAGAACTCCTGACCTCAAGTGATCTGCCCACCTTGGCCTCCCAAAGTGTTGAGATTACAGGTGTGAGCCACTGCACCTGGCCTCAAATGTTATTCTTTAAAAAGTGTTACCTCCTTAGATGGTATTAGTTGCATTGTGCATAGTGAAAGGAAAATGAATGAGCATGATTGATGCACAGTCCCAGCAGAAAGGAAAGAAGGCCAAATGCTGCTTTCTTGTCACCCTGCCTGAGCGGTGTCGTGTAGCAGTACAGAGAGAGTGAGTCTAGGGGAAGGCATAAACTGGAGGGGCTATTGAAGGTTTTTTTACTTTTTTATTTTCCTTGAAGAAAGAAGAAAGAAAGAAGGGGGAAAACATTTTCAAGTTTTTAAGGAGAGTTGGAGAAAAATGAAGCAGAATAAATGGATCCATAGAACAGATTGGAGATTTTTTTTGTAGGAGAGATGTTTCTTCCTTTGAATCTGCGGAGTGGATGAGAAACTGCCTGTGTTGGCATATTCGATTCAGGAAGTATAGGCTGTAGTGGTATATTAACATTGGATTCAGAAAGCTCACTTAGGGATTTGGGCCCATTTTATAGAAGGAAAGTTTTAAAATAGGATTCTAGTATTTAAAGATGATTTAATATTGCCTTTCTTGTTTTTAAATAGCTGTCACGGGAAGTCTTTTTAGAATAAACTTAGGCCTGCGTGGCCTGGTGGCTGGTGGTATAATTGGAGCCTTGCTGGGGTAAGCATTAACATGGTTTGGTTCTAGATTGGCACAACTTTCATTAATGCCTTGCCTATTAAAAAATCTCATTTATTTTCAAAAAACAAATTTAATCCTTAGAATCTATAAAAGATCTCTACTCTTGTATTGGTAGTAGCTTTGACTGTCCAGTTCTAATTCTACCCCAATAGTTTATCTTACTTACAGTTTTTTTTATAGTTTATTTTACTTAACAGCTATTTCAAAAAATAACATTTATTCAGTACAACTATCTAAGATAGGGCCCTTATTCAAAATTCCTTTTTACCGGGTAAAACTGTTTAAAAACTGCTAACACCTGAAACTATAGTTTGAACAAACGTATTTATGGGAGCAGGGAAAAAAGAACAAAAAACAATTAATTAACAGGCATATTCTATAAAAATTGTTGGTAGGATTTTATTTGTTTTGCTTAACCCCGTCTCTACTAAAAAATACAAAAAACTAGCCGGGCGCGGTGGCGGGCGCCTGTAGTCCCAGCTACTCGGGAGGCTGAGGCAGGAGAATGGCGTAAACCCGGGAGGCGGAGCTTGCAGTGAGCTGAGATCTGGCCACTGCACTCCAGTCTGGGCGACAGAGCGAGACTCCATCTCAAAAAAAAAAAAAAAGTTCTTACCCCAACTTTTTACTTTGAACAATTTCAAACCTACAGAAAAGTGGAATTAATTAGTACATTAAAATCCCATATACCCTTCACCTAGATTCACCAATTGTTAATGCCTTGGTGATGTTTTCCATATCTGTGTATATGTGTGGGATGTGAATATATTTCTTTTTCTTTCCCTTTGCTTCTTGGATAAACTGTTTGAGACCTCATAATACTTTGCCTCCATATATATTAGCGTGTATCTCCCAAGATGAAGAATACTCTTCCATGAAATCATAATACAATTATCACAGTAAACATCGTTTCAACACAACTATCTAAGTTAGGGTCTATATTAAAAACTCCTCAATTATCATACTAATGTCCACAATGTTTCTCCATTTTGTTTGATCATCCCATCATGATTACATTAATGCACTTCTGTCAAGAATACAACATAGGTGAAGTTGTATCCTCATGTATCACATCGGGAGATACTCTGTTACCCATTATAAGTAATATTAACTTCAATTACTTGATATATTGGTTTTCTGCTGTGTAACAAATTACCACGAACTGAGCATGTATTGCATGTGAAACAACACCCTTGTAGTTCTACAGATTATAAGTTTGGCTGGGTTTCACTGCTCAATATTTTACAAGGCCAAAGTCAAGCTCTTGGCCGGGCTGGGCTCTTTCCTGGAGGCTCTGGGGAAAAATCAGTTTCCAAGCTCATTCAGGTTGTTGACAATTTAGTTCCATGTGGCCAGGCACAATGGCTCACACCTGTAATCCCAGCATTTTGGGAGGCCGAGGTGGGCAGATCTCTTGAGGTCAGGAGTTTGAGACCAGCCTGGCCAACAGGGTGAGACACTGTCCCTACTAAAAATAGAAAAATTAGCCAGGCACGGTGGCAGGTGCCTGTAATCCCAGATACTCAGGAGGCTGAGGCAGGAGAATTGCTTGAACCCCATATACCCTTCACCTAGGCAGAGGCAGAGGTTGCAGTGAGCCAGTATTGCACCATTGCACTCCAGCCTGGGCGACAGAGTAAGACTCAGTCTCAAAAAAAAAAAAAAAAAAAAGAGAGAGGAAAAGCAAAAAAAGAATTTAGTTTCTTGTGCCTGGAGGAGGTCTGAGGTCCATGTTTCCTTGTTGGCTGTGAGCCAGACTATTCTCTGTTCCTGGAGGCCACCACCCACATATCTTCTCCCAGGGCCCCTTTGTGTTTAAACCAGCTATAGCACATTGACTCCTTCTCATACTTCGAATCTTCAACTTCTACTCTGCCACCAGCCAGGGAAAACTCTGCTTTTAAGTGTTCACTCAGATATCTATCTCCTTTTTCATTACCTCAGATTTAACTAATTAGTAACCTTAATTACATTTCTCACATAAATTTTGCCATGTATGATAATATAATCATGGGCATAATATATTCACAGTTGAGTGATTAGGCAGGATATTTGGGGGGACCACTTTAGAATTCTGCCTACCACATTTGGTTAAGGTGTTATCTGTTCAGTGCCTCCATTGCAAAGATATCTTTTTCCCAATGTGATTAATTAGTAATCTGGAGGGTGACACTGAATATCCTGCTCTCCAACTATCTTTTCATCATGTGTTTTTAATGATCCATTGACGACCCATGCTGTAATCGGTTTGTTACTAGAAAGGTGGTTGTAAATGTTGATAAGCTAATTCTGTCAGTTCTTCTGTTTTTATTAGTTGGTATTTGACTAGAAGAGTGCTACCTTCCTCCTGCACCTGTTCACCCCTTTTTCTGCCTCCTTTAAAGGAGAAGATAATGCTATAGATTTAATGATTTTTTAAAAATTTAAATTAAATAAAATCAGCATGTCATAATCTACTACTGCCATTACTTTTGTTGTAGTGTTAATATACCAGTTTGGTTTGAAGGGAAGACTTGTAGAAGTTAGCAACAAAAATATTTTATATTGTGGTAATAAACACATAGCATAACATTCACCATCTTAATCATACTTTAAGTGTATAGTTCAAAAATGCTAAGTATATTCACATTGTGTGTGAGATCTCTAGAACTTTTTTCTCTTGCGAAATGAAACTATATCCGTTAAAAACTAATTTTCCCTCCTCATACCCTCCAGCCCTCAGCAAACATATTTCTACTTTCTGTTTCTATGATTTTGACTACTTTATATACTTCATATGAGTAGAATCATACAGTATTTTCCTTTTGTGACTAGCTTATTTTACTTAGCATAATAATGTCCTTGAGGTTTATCTATGTTGTAGCCTGTGACGGATTGCCCTCTTTTTTAAGGCTGCATAATACTCCATTGTATGTGTATGTCACATTTTCTTTAGCCATCTGTCAGTGAACATTTATGTTGCCAAGTAAAAGTAGTTTTTAGTATGAGGTTACTTAAATTGTAGCTGGAGGAAATTTAAGGTATGTGAAGGTCAAATACTTCTAGTTTGAGAACACAAGAACCAAATTCTCTTCATCACTATAGCAATTATTATCTAAATCAGTTTCTCAGTGGGTTGCTATTGGCATTGTTGGTGAGACAGTTATGCCAGACTCTTGAACTTTAGGATATTTTGGTGATCCCACCCTCAAAAGCCAGTAGCATCCCTTCCTCAACCAAAAATGCCTTCCACATTTCCTGTCTCCTAGAGGAGCTGGTGCCATTCTGAACTAGAAATTTCATTTCTGAGAATTCTTTGGTGTGGGACTACTTACTAGATCCTGTCATAATTATATACTTTTTTCTCTTCGTTTTCATTTATTTCTCATTCCTCATAAAAACAACCAGTTTCTAGATCTGTTGTTTTATTATATATCAGTTAACTTTAGGAGGTTGTAGTGATTGTTTTTCTCTGTTGTTCAGACCAGAGAAGAGATTACCTCAATGTTTTTCTTTATTTGACAAGGACACTTTAATTCTCAAATGTTCCTATACCTAATAGTGAACAAGTGGCTCTGGTGTTGCTCACACCTTAGCAGAGAATCTCACATGTTGCAAGGTCTAATGATTCTTTTTTCCTAAGCTTTCCCTCTCCTTTCTTCTCAGTACTCCTGTAGGAGGCCTGCTGATGGCATTTCAGAAGTACTCTGGTGAGACTATTCAGGAGAGAAAACAGAAGAATCGAAAGGCGCTCCATGAGCTAAAACTGGAAGAGTGGTAAGGAACATGTTAAGCCCAGGGAATCTTGGCTGTCTTGCCCCAGGCCTTATATAGTGGTGCTCTGTTAAACTTGTGTACTCTAAACTGCCACTCAGTTCAAAGAAGAGTTTATTTTTACTGAGTCCTTCAACTCATTCTGTATATTGTCTTTTAATCTATTTAAGGAGAATGGAAAAATGAAAGACATTAATTTTAGTTTTAATTTAACAAAGGTCTTTCTTTGCATTTTTTTTTTAAGTTAAAATGTTGTAAATCTTACTTGCTTGCATATTTTTTATTTTCCTATGTTCTTGACTGCATAGGAAATTACCTAAAGGGAATATTCACCAAGGAGTGAGCTTTACCTGGCTTACTTAAAAAGTGACATCCTTAGCCAGGCAGGGTGGCTCATGCCTGTAATCCCAGCACTTTGGGAGGTCAAGACAGTTGGATCACCTGAGGTCAGGAGTTCGAGACCAGCCTGGCTAACATGGCGAAACACCATCTCTACTAAAAATACAAAAATTAGCTGAGCATGGTGGCACGTGCCTGTAGTCCCGGCTCCTCAAGGAGGCTGAGGCAGGAGAATCACTTGAACCCAGGAGGTGGAGGTTTCAGTGACCCATGATTATGCTCCAGCCTGGGCCACAGATCAAGACTCCATCTCAAAACAGGAGAAGAAGTGACATCTTTTTTTTTTGCACAAATATGTATGTAAGACACAGCATGTTAAGTCTCCACAAAGATTCTGTTTCTTGCTGTAGACACAGAGGAATTAGGTGAACAGCGGTTGTTCATGCACTGAATGCCACTGAGGAGCATGAAAACTTTTACCTATTGCATCTAATCATTTCCTGGGATGCAATTTGTGGGGTAGGGCAATCAGACTGATAGCTGACTTTGCACAGATTCAATATGTAAGATGAATATAACAGGCTGCTATCTAGTGCTCCTGAGTACAAATGATTCTCACTAGTTCAGCTTCCTGGGTACCTAAGATAGCATTGGCTGCTGCTGCTGTTGCTGTTTTGGTATTATAATTGGATAGATAAGAAATCATTTTTTTCCAATGTTTTCATTTGAAACCTCCATTTCTGCTAACCACACACACATACATGGAAATTCTTAAGAGCTGTAGTCCATTATCCAAAGACTTATGTGCTATATGAGAAAAAAAGCATTGAGGTTGCAGTGAGCCGAGATCACACCACTGCACTCCAGTCTGGGCCACAGAGCAAGACTTCATCTCAAAAAAAATAAATAAAAATTTAAAAAATAAATGAAAAATTAAAAACTACAGAAGTTTGTCAGTGATTTAGGGGTCAGTGATTTTGAGATAGAAAAGCTTAAGAGTGGCTGGCTAAGGCCATTCTAAGGTCATTCACCTGGAGTCTTCCACCACTGGCAACACTGCCAATTCTAGTGGTTGAGCTGTCATGTGCACTGCCTGAAGACTGGCCCATCCAGGGCCTGCTGCCACCATTTACCTCCCCCCATCCGGTTAACAGCAGATTTGCCAGCAGAAAACTTACAGGTCAGGAGAGAATGGGATGACACATTCAGAATGCTGAAAGGAAAAAACAAACAAAAAAACCCAAAAAAACTCCTGCAAAGAGTATTATACCTAGCAAAGCTGTTCTTCCAAAATGAAGGAGAAATAGTCTTCCCAAGACAGGCAAACACTGAGGGAATTCATCACTACTGGACTGCCTTATAAGAAATGCTTAAAGAACTCCTGCATGTGAATGCAAAAGTATGGTAACTGCCATTATGGAAACACATGAAAGAATAAAACTCACTAGTAGAGCAGATAGATACACAAATAAGAACGAGAAAGGAATCAAACTTTATAATTACAAAAATCCACCAACTATGGAAGTAAATAAGAGGGGAAGAAAGGAACAAAGATTATACAGAACAACCAGGAAACAACAAAATGACAGGAGTAAATCCATACCCACAATAACAACGTGGAATATAAACACTTTAAATTCCCCAATTAAAGATTTAGACTGGCTGAATGAATAAAAAAGAATTTAAAGACTCAACTATATATACTGACTATAAGAAACTCACTTCACCTGTAAAGGTACAGATAGGCTGAAAGTAAAGGGATAGAAAAAGATGTTCATGCAAATGGAAACCATAAATGAGCAGGAATAGCTATACTTAGGCCAGATAAAATAGGCTTTAAATAAAAAACTACAAAAAGAGACAAGGTCATTATATAATGATAAAGAGATTAATTCAGCAAGAGGAAATAACTGTAAATATATATACATCCAACACGAGAGCATCCATTTATATATAAACAAATAATAATAGAGCTAAAGGGAGAGATAAACCCTAATGTAATAGCTGGGGACTTCAACACCGCACTCCCAGCACTGGACAGATCATGTAGACAGAAAATCAACAAAGAAACATCAGACTTAAACTGTACTATAGATCAAATGGATCTAGCAGACATTTACAGAACATCACATCCAAGAGCTGCAAAATACACCTTTTTCTTATCTTGGAATGTTCTTCAGGATAAACCATATGTTAAGCTACAAAACAAGTCTCAACAATTTTTTAAAGCTCAAAATAACATCAAGTATTTTTTCAGACCATAGCAGGATAAAACTAGAAATCAGTAACAGGAAGGACTTTGGAAACAGTGCAGATACACAGAAATTAAATAATATGCTCCAGAACAATGAATAGGTCAGTGAAAAAAGAAGGAAATTTAAAAATTTCTTGAAACAAATGAAGGTAGAAACACATCATACCAAAACCTATGGGATACAACAAAAGTATCACTAACAGGTACGTTTACAGCAATAAATGCCTCCATCAAAAAGTAGAAATGTTTCAGATAAACAACCTAACACTGCACCTGAGGGAACTCGAAAAGCAAGAACAAACCAAACCCAAAATCAGTAGACGAAAATAAATAAAAATATCAGAGCAGAGCTGAGTGAAATAGAGACTTAAAAAACACACACACACACACAAAAGAACTAAATGAAAAGTTCGTTTCTTGAAAACAAACAAAATCAAGAAACTACTAGGTAGACTAAGAAAAAAGACCCAATTAAGTTAAAAAACAAAAAAGGAGACATTACAACTGATACCACGGACATACTCGTATCATTAGAGATTATTATGAAACAACTATATGGCAAGAAATTGGAAAAGCTACATGAAATGGATATGTTCCTGAAACCCTATAATCTATTGAGATTGAGCCAAAAAGTAATAGAAAACCTGAACAGACCAATAACAAGTAACAAGATTGAACTGGTAATAAAAAGTCTCCCAACAAAGAAAAGTCCAGGACCACATGGCTTCGTTGCTAAATTCTGCCAAACAGTTAAAGAAGAATTAAGACCAATTCTCAAACTATTCCAAAATATTGAAGGTGAGAGAATTCTTCCAAACTCAGTCTACAAGGCCAGCATTACCCTTATACAACAAAAACCAGACAAGGGCACGTTAAAAAACACCACCACCACCACCACCACCTACAGGCCAATGTATTCTACAAAACAATCCTTAACAAAATACTAGCAAACCAAATCCAAGGGTACATCAAAAAGATTATACATCATGAACAAGTGGGATTTATCCTAGGTATGCAAGGATGGTGCAACATACACAAATCAATAAATGTGGTACATCATATAAACAGAAGGAAGAACAAAAACCATATGATCATCTCAATAAATGCAGAAAAAACATTTGGTAAAATTCAACACCCCTTCATGATAACACCTCCCAAAAAGTTAGGGGTACAAGGACTATTTCTCAGTACAATAAAGGCCATATATGCCAGACTCACAGCTAATATCATACTGAACAGGGAAAAATGAAAAGCTTTTCCCTCAAAGAACTGGAATGAAATAGGAATGCCCACTCTTACCAGTCTTATTCAACATAGTATTGGAAATCCTAGCCAGAGCAGTTAGGCAAGAAAAAGAAATAAAAGGCATTAGAGGCCAGGCACCATTGCTCACACTTGTAATCCCAGTGCTTAGGAGGCTGAGGCAGGTGGATCACTTGAGGTCAGGAGTTCAAGACCAGCCTGGCCAACGTAGTGAAACCCTGTGTCTACTAAAAATACAAAAATTAGCTGGGTGTCGTGGTGCACACCTGTAATCCCAACTACTTGGGAGGCTGAGGCAGGAGGATTGTTTGAGCCTGGAAGGTGGAGGTTGCAGTGAGCCAAGATGGCGCCACTGCACTCCAGCCTGAGTGACAGAATGAGACAAAAGAAAATTAGCCGGTCACAGTAGTGCATGCCTATAGCCCCAGTTACTTGGGAGACTAAGGCCAGTGGATCCCTTGAGCCCAGGAATTCAGGGCAGCAGTGAGCCATGATCGTGTTACTGCACTCCAGCCTGGGCAACAAAGTAAGTCCCTGTCTCTTCAAAAAAAAAAAAAGAGTGGGGCAGGGGGTTGGGGGGAAACTTGTGTTTCTCAAAAAATACATACAAGTGGCTAAAAAATATATGAGAAAGTATTCAACGTAACTAATCAGGGAAATGCAAATCAAAACCACAGTGCAATGTGGTTTGGGGACAGTTTGGGGAATTGGGGTGATATTTACCCCAATTAGAATGTTATCAAAAAGACAATAAATTTTGGCAAGGATGCAGAAAGAAAAGGGAACTCATGTACTTTTGGTAGGAATGCAAATTAGTACAGCCATTATAGAAACGGTATGGAAGTTCCTCAGAGAACTGAAAAGAGAGCTACTGTATGATCCAGCAATCTTCCCTACTGGGTATTTATCCAAGGAAAAGAAACCAGCATATCAAAGAGTTATCTGCACCCCCATGCTTATTGCAGCACTATTCATAATAGCCAAGGTATGGAATCAATGTCATTGTCCAACAGATGAATGGATAAAGAAAATGTGGTATATATACACCATAGAATACTATTCAGCCATAATAAAGAATGAAATTCTGTCATTTGTGGGAACGTGGATGAGCCTGTAGGACATTGTTGTGTAAAATAAGTCATACACTTACAAATACTGCATGTTCTGTTGCTCATGTGGGAGCTAAAAAATGGGCTCATAGAAGTAAAGAGTAGAATTATGGTTACCGGAGGCTGAGGGGACAGGGAGAAGCATAAGAAAAGGAGATTTAATGGATTGATTAATAAATACAAAATTATAACTGGATTGGAGGGATAAGTTCTAGGGTTCTGTGGCACTGTAGGATGACTGTAGTTAATAATAATTTATTGTGTATTTTCAAGTAGCTAGAAGAGAGGATGTTTGAATGGTCCCAACAGTATGAAATGATAAATGTTTGAGGTGGTGCATATGCTAATTACCCTGATTTGAGGTGATGCATATGCTAATTACCCCAATTTGATCATTACACATTGTATATGAAAATATCACTTTGTACTTCATAAATATGTACAATTATTAGTTTCAATTGTAAGAAGGATAGATAAAAACAACTTGAATCATGGTAATGAAAGAATACTTTGGCAGAATGAAAGTGTCAAAATTGTATAGCATATACACCTATGTGTGTTTATGTGTGTGTGTGATATTTCTAAGGAGGGTTAATTCAATAAACGTTTAAGTGTCTTGTATGTGCCTACTTCTTCGCTTGAAAATAATACAGGAAAATCAAATTGAGAGTCAAGAAAATTGCCTCAATGAGCAGAAAATGTAGAAAACTGACTATAGAGATATGGAAGAACAAATGACCAAATCTGTTTGTGAAGAGTTGAGAAGAAGCTTTAACCCTGATAATCACTTAAGGAAGATACTAATACTTGATTTAGAAACAGAACTGATCTATTATTTGGAAATTAGATTTTAACTCTTCATGAATGTAAATCTATAGTGTTGTTCTAGCTGACTTTTCTCTACCTAGGATTACCTTTTTTTTTTTTTCTTTTGAGACGGAGTCTCTCTCTGTCACCCAGGCTGGAGTGCAGTGGTGCTATCTTGACTCACTGCAAGCTCCGCCTCCCAGGTTCATGCCATTCTCCTGCCTCAGCCTCCTGAGTAGCTGGGACTACAGGTGTCCGCCACCACGCCCGGCTAATTTTTTCTATTTTTAATATAGACAGGGTTTCACCATGTTAGCCAGGATGGTCTCGATCTCCTGACCTTGTGATCCACCCGCCTCAGCCTCCCAACGTGCTGGGGAGGCATGAGCCTCTACGCCCGCTGATTACCATTGTTACAGCCTTTGTCCAGTTCCTACAAGGTCTGGTCACAGAGTTTAAGAGTGGCAAGGTACTCACATTCCCCCAGCCCTGGGAGCAAGAGGAGAGCAAGACTTCAAGCCTTCACACCTTAGCACAAAGTGTGTTGGTTCCCACACATCACTCCTGTGAGAACTCTAGGACCCAGCATACTAGGAATATCTTACGGATCAGAACTGTCACCACAACGGTATCCATTATGGTAATGTGAAAAATAATTGGCTTTCTTCTCTCCTAACCTATTAGAATATAGAATATAGTCTCCTCATAGAATATAGTTTTACAAAGGAGAGAAGAGAGTTACTGCATTTGAAGTGCAGGCAGCAGTGTTCACTTCTAAGTTGCTGTACCAAAGCAGGGAGGAAAAGACAAATGCTATCCTTTTTGTTTTAAATCTGTAAGAACTAAAGAAGTGGAGCAGTATTTGATTTATCCTTTTTTTTTTTTTGATTACAGGAAAGCCAGACTACAAGTTACTGAGGACCTCCCTGAGAAAATTGAAAGTAGTTTACAGAAAAATGTACCTGAGAATGATGCTACAAAAATTGAAGCACTGCTAAACCTTCCTAGAAACCCTTCAGTAATAGATAAACAAGACAAGGACTGAAAGTGCTCTGAACTTGAAACTCACTGGAGAGTTGAAGGGAGCTATGCTGCCATGTCCGTTGAATGCCAACAGACAGGCCACTCTTTGGTCAGCCTGCTGACAAACGTAAGTGCTGGTACCTGTGGTGGCAGTGGCTTGCTCTTGTCTTTTTCTTTTATTTTCTTTTTAAGAATGGGGCTGTTGTACACTCTCTTTACTTATCCTTAAATTTAAATACATATTTATGTTTGTATTAATCTGTCAATATATACATACATGAATATATCCACTCACCTAGATTTTAAGCAGTAAATAAAACATTTCCCAAAAGATTAAAGTTGAATTTTACAGTTCATATATTCATGTGGTCCTTTGAAAGGGTATTCTAGAAATCACTGGAAGGAGGAGAGGAAAGAACCAGGTAGGCAAATGGTCTGTGAAACCCTTGGGTCCTGGAAGCAGTGTGAGTGTAAACGTGTAGTAGTGTTTGGTTTAATCTTAATAAAGGTCATTTATTTCGCACTTGAAATAAATACAAATTCAACAAAAAGTAGATCAGTGTTATTAAAGAAACTGTTCAACTTTGTTTCTTCCCTTAGTATTGCTGACAAAGTATTGCTGTAGAATACAGGAATTACTTAGAATAGGAACATAGTCATCACAACTGTTACTAAATGGAAAAGAAAAGAATTTCTGAATTAATTATTCCTGTCAATACAGGAAACACTGCTAGTATCTTATGTTGGTATTAGACCTCTCTGCCTGCATTGAGAATATAGTTTTACATAGTAGCAAGGTTTGTGAAGCAGCATAGTGAGGTAGCTAAAGCCATGGGCTGCCTCTAAAGGCTTTGAATCCCAGCCATGTGGCTTAGCCATGAGATGTGCATTTGAGAAATGTTGTCGTCTTTTGCTGTCCAACTCCAAATTTTCAGATGATAATGTGATTATCCCAGCTTAAGTTCCATCCTGAAGGGGTGGCCTGCCCCTCCACACCTGTGAGCATTTCTCGTTAGGTGGAACGAGAGACTTGAGAAAAGAAATGAGACACAGAGACAAAGTATAGAGAAAGAAAAAGTGGGCCCAGGGGACCGGCACTCAGCATACAGAGGACCCACATGGTCTCTGAGTTCCCTCAGTATTTATTGATCATTATCTTTACCATCTTAGAAAAAGTGGCAGGATAATAGGATCATAGTAGGGAGAAGGTCAGCAGTAAGACATGTGAATAAAGATCTCTGTGACATGAATAAGTTTAAGGAAAAGTGCTGTGCCTTGATATGCATATGCAGACATCTCCATAAACCTTTTTAGTGCATAAAGAGCAGCATTGCCACTAGCACGTCCCACCTTCAGCCCTAAGGCGGTTTTCTCCTTTCTCAGTGAACAGAACATACAATCAGGTTTTACACCGAGATGTTCCATTGCCCAGGGATGGGCAGGAGACTGATGCTTTTCTCTATCTCAACTGCCAGGAGGCCTTCTTTCCTCTTATACTAATCCTCCTCAGCACAGACCCTTCACCCTTCACGGGTGTCAGGCTGGGGACGGTCAGGTCTTTCCCTTCCCATGAGGCCATATTTCAGACTATCACATGGGGAGAAACCTTGGACAATATCTAGCTTTCCTAGGCAGAGGTCCCTGTGACCTTTGGCAGTGTACGTGTCCCTGGGTACTTGAGATTAAGAGAATGGTGATGACTTTTCACAAGCATACTGCCTTCAGGCACTTGTTTAACAAAGCACACCCTGCACAGCCCAAAATCCATTAAACCTTGAGTCACCACAGCACATGTCTCTTGCAAGGACAGGGTTGGGGGTGGGGTCACAGATTAACAGCATCTCAAATACAGAACAAAATGGAGTCTTTTATGTCTACTTCTTTCTATATAGACACAGTAACAGTCTGATCTCTCTTTCTTTTCCCCACATGTCCCCCTTTTCTTTTCAGCAAAACCACCATTGTTATCATGGCTCGTTCTCGATGGTCGCTGTCTCTTTGGAACTGTTGGGTATACCTGCAGACTAACAGCAGACAGGCACACAAGGATTAATGTGAAATTTACAATAGTAGTACTTTACATGGTCTTAACCGAAGTGACAGGGTTAAGATTTGTGAGGCCATCAGCAACTCCTGCAATTGCCTCAGTTTCTGCTACCAACACAGAGATCACATACTTCACAAGGTAATAAAATATCACAAAGCAAGTGGAGGCAGGATGAGATCACAGGACCACAGGATGGCGTTAAAATTAAAATTAAAACTGAAAATGCTAATGAAATTTTGGGCACACTTTGTCATTGATAGCATCTTATCAGGAAACAGGGTTTGACAGCAGACAGCCTGTGTGACCAAAATTTATTAGGCGGGAATTTCCTCATCCTAATAAGCCTGGGAGCACTACAGTAGACCGGGGCTTATTTCATCCCTTTGGCTTCTACCGTAAAAGGCGGCACACTTCCAAGGGGGTCGTTTATAGGCCTACCCTCAAAGTGCATTCTGTTTCTCAGGGATGTTCCTTGCTGAGAAAAAGAATTCAGCGATATTTCTCCTATTTGCTTTTTAAAAGAGAAGAAATATGGCTCTGTTCCATCCAGCTCACTGGCGGCCAGTTCAAGGTTACCTCCCTTGTTCCCTGAATATTGCTGGTATCCTGTTCTTTTTTCAAGATGTCCAGATTTCATATTGTTCAAACACACATGCTCTACAAACAATTTGTGCAGTTAACACAATCATCACAGGGTCCTGAAGTGACATATATCCTCCTCAGCTTACAAAGAAGATGATGGGATTGAGAGATTAAAGTAAAGACAGACATAGGAAATTATAAAAGTATTAATTTGGGGAACTAATAAATGTCCATGAAATCTTCACATTTTATGTTTTTCTGCTGTGGCTTCAGCGGGTCCCTCCGTTCAGGGTCCCTGACTTCCCACACATCTGTTCTTCTGATATCACCACTTTGTTCATCTTGCAAATCAATGGTGCTCGATTGCGGTGTTTCCGACTCCGTGGAGGCGCTTTTCTTTGCATCTCTGATGGGTTCATTGTAGAACTTCAAATGTCTAGTGGGTATCCAAACAGGAAGCTGATTTTCTTCTGGTGAAACACAAGCAAAACCTCTTCCCCATGTTATCACCTTCCTTATTTCCCATGTCTTATTTTTGTTATCTTTCCACCAAATCAGTTTTCCTTCATGTGGACTGTTCTTTTTACCAGTAAGATGTTGCTCTGCAGAAGTAGTAGTCTGATTTCTATAAATGTTTAAAAAAATTAAAGTATAGAGTGCTAGATTAAGTTGCATCTGAGGAGTGGTATACTCCTTATTGTCTCCCCCTTCTTTTTGTTTAACTAACTGAGTTTTGAGTGTTCTATTAGTTCTTTCAACTATGGCCTGTCTTTGGGAATTATAAGGAATTCCTGTTATATGTGTAATTTTTCAGTGATTTAAGAATTTTTGGGAAGCTTTACTACAATATCCTGGTCCATTGTCAGTTTTAATTTTTTCTGGAACTCCCATTACAGCAAAACAAGATAATAAATGCTTTTTAACATGGGAAGTACTTTCTCCTGTCTGGCAGGTTGCCCATATGAAATGTGAATAAGTATCAACTGTTACATGAACATATGATTATTTTCCAAATGAAGGTACATGTGTGACATCCATTTGCCATAATGCGTTAGGACACAGACCTCTGAGATTAACTCCTGCCTCTTTAGTGGGCAGGTGTAGTACTTGACACTGGGTGCAATGTTGTACAGTATCTTTTGCCTGTTTCCATGTGACATCAAATTTGTTTTTTAACCCTGCTGCATTTACATGAGTCAAAGCATGAAGTTCTTGTGCTTTTATGAATGCAGAGGATACCAGTAAGTCAGTTTGTTCATTTGTTTTAGTTAAAGGTCCTGGTAAATTAGTGTGTGCTCGAATATGAGTAATATAAAACGGGAAATTCCTTTTTCTTACAGTTTGTTGTAATAAATTGAACAGCTGGTTTAACTGAGCATCCATGCTATATTTAATTAGTGCTGTCTCAACATCCCTTGTAGCCTGTACTACATTTGCAGAATCTGATACAATATTAACAGGTTGATTAAAATCTTGTAACACTGTAATGACTGCAACCAACTCTGCCCTTTTAGCCGATTGATATTGAGTTTTGATTACTTGCTCTTTTGGCCCTGTGTAAGCCACTTTTCCATTGCTGGAACCATCAGTAAATACTGTCAGAGCATTTTCTAAAGGTTCATGTCTGGTAATTTTAGGTAAAATCCAAGTAGTCAATTTTAAAAACTGAAGATTTTTGGTTTTGGGTAATGATTAGCAATAATTCCCACAAAATCAGCAAGACCAATCTGCCATGCACCAGAATTGATAAAGGCTTGTCTAATTTGTTCCTTGGTTAAAGGAACAACTATTTTGTCTAGGTCATTACCACAGAATTTTATTATTTATAATTTTGCCTGACCAATTAATGTAGCTATTTGATCCAAGTACAATGTAAAAGTCTTAATTGTACTGTGAGGAAGGAATGACCACTCCACAAGATCAGTATTTTGAACAATGATGCCTGTTGGAGAATGTGCAGTAGCAAAAATCAAAAGTTGGAATGGGGCTATTTTACTTATTTGCGCTGACTGAAGTTTTTCTTCCACTAATTTAATTTTTTTTTGTTGCCTCTGGGGTTAATATTCTTTTACTATTTAAGTCTGGGTCTCCTCTTAGGATAGAGAACAAATTTGACATGGCATAAATAGGAATGCCTAGAGTTGGCCGAATCCAATTAATATCGCCTAACAATTTCTGAAAGTCATTTAATGTTTTTAATGTGTCTTTTCTTACTTCTATTTTTTGTGACTTAATTTTTTTATTTTCTATCTGCATCCCTAAATAATGAAAAGGAGTAGAGGTTTGAATCTTATCAGATGCTATTGTTAGTCCTGCGTTGGCAACCTCTGCTTGCAGAAAAGTGTAACAGTCAATTCATTTGTCTGTTTCTGTAGCACATAAAATATCATCAATATAGTGAATGATATAACAATCTGAAAATTTGTCTCTAACTGTTTGAAGGACTTGACCTACAAAAGTCTGACAGATAGTTGGACTGTGAAGCATTCCCTGAGGTAACACTTTCCACTGAAACCTGGTGGCTAGTTCCTTATTATTTACGGCTGGTATAGTAAAGGCAAAGTTTTCACAATCCTGCTCTGCCAGAGGAATGGTAAAAAAGCAATCCTTTAGGTCAATTATAATTAAAGGCCAGTCTTTTGGAATCATGGCCGCGGAGG